TTCGGATCGGCGCTGATCTCGGTCTGCGAAAAAGAAACGGCCGGATTGCGACACCGAGATTTCTTTTTCTTCCCGCGCGGGAAAAAATTCGCCGTCTCATCCGGACTCGGCTGAGTCACTCGCCGTTGTCCCGAGTCGGCAAACCGGGTCGGATCGATTCCGTGGTTTCCATTTTGGCGCGCTCGGTGCCGCCGCTTTATATCTAGCATCGGGCGGGTTTAGCAAGGTCATTCTGCAAAAAAAAAAAAGAATTGGCCGCAACCTTCCATCCTCCTTGTTGAAGCCATTTTCAATATAAAATATTTCGCCATTATTCTGCAGAACATCGCCGTTCTCAGAGAACGTTCGTTCTCGCTCGCCATTCTTTGACAGACCGACGGACGAACAGACCCCGAGCCTCGTGTCGAACGACGGCGGGATCGACACGGAATCGAGAGAAAAAAAAATGCACGGAGAGAAAAAGTACCTTCAGTTTTACTACAACGCCCATGAACGATGTCCGCGGGCGGTGGACTCCAGGCGACAAGAAAAGTGGGGGCGGTGGACTCTATTGCAAGGACGAAACGCACAGCAATGTTCCGCAGATCGGGCTATGCACGCGTATGTGTCTCGCTCTAAACCTTCCGGATTTCCGGATCCGGTCGTCATCTTCATCATCGATCGACATGATGAGATTTCTTCTTTTCGAGTCAGAGATCCCGTGTTAGAAGGAAGCGATAGCGTTGGAGCCTTTGGGTGCCGAAAGGCCCCACGGGATCCTCATCGGGGGGCAAGGTCCTGCTTAAAGCCTTCAGTCCAGATAGATCCTTTTCCGGAATTCCCGATAGAGCGATGGAGCATTAGAAGTGGAAGGAACATGGCCGAAAGGCTGCCAGGTGACAGTATCCACAGCCAAAGTCCATCTCACGGCCACAAGAGCACTCTCCACTAGCTGGAGAGAGATGGCGCTCGTGTTGCTGGAAGGCAACCGGTGCAACGCGTACAGGGTGTCTCAGAAATATGTACTAGGGTCGTAGAGAACTTTCCCGACCAGATAGCAGGATTTTTTTTCTCATTAGGTAATTTGCTTTCAAATTAATTTGCAAATTTTCAGACATTTTCACCGACTCTTCGAAAAGCTAAAAGGATTTGATTTAAAAAACACGAGAAATCAAAAATCAGTATGGCCATCATTGTTCTCGGTCACGGCTCGAATGCACATGGGCATCGAGCAGAGAAGAATTTCGAAGAGGAAAAGCTCTTCTTCTGTGGTATCAGAAAGCTCCTTGGCCCAGATTTCTGATCGTTCGGCTTCCCGATTGCACGAACGGAAGACTCATCGCTGAACGCGAAGTGCGAGAAATCGGGGAAACGGGCGATCTTCGCGATCGAGATCGGTCTTCAAAGGATCCGAGACGACGTGGGACGACTCGAGTCCCGAACTTTCTCGAGATTTCGACGAAGGGTGTCCTTCGAATGCCCTTTCTCCCCGGGGGCAAGGATCTCGGTTGCCGACCGGCCGCGAGTCGAAAGGTCGGTGAAGCAGTCGTTCTCGTTCCACGTTTTGGCGACCCGTTCCACGGAACGGTGAAGAGAGAATTGGCCACCCGTTTGCGGTCGATGCTCCGGCGTCACGAGTTTCCAGAGAAGCGATTGCTTGAAGACGATCAAGACTCGTGATATTAATCTAAAATTCAAACCCCTGTAAAATTAAAAAAAGTCAATGAAGATGTCTGAAAAATTCCTAAATTAATCTGGAATTAATTTATATTTTGAACAAAATAAGCCAAATCCCGCTCGCTTGTCGGGAAGAGGTACCCTACGACCCTAGTGCGTATTTATGAGACACCCTGTACTGCGGAGGTGGATGTGGATGCTCGGATGCTCGGGGGAGCAGCCAACCTTTAATCACCGGCCAAAGAGAAATTACGCTCTGCTGGGAACCGTGCCCGTAAAGATCTTTCTACGGACCAGGTTCAGGAAGAAAAGAACAAAAGGGGAGAATTCACCAGGCAAATTTATTTTCTGAGAGTTTTGTCTGTAATAGTAGTCGTGCCAAACTTCGAAAAAACGGATAAACAGGCTTGTCTTTGAAAAATAAGTTTACTCTCTTCGATAAAACTCACTACTGTACTTCCATTTTGACAGAAAAATACGGCGAGACCTTCGCCATGGATCCTTTTCTTTTCTCTGATCCGGACGCCTGTGTTCCTGGCAAAGAAGACGTACGGTCATAGCCTCGCCTGAATACGAATGTGACCATCTCGTGCAGCTCAGGCCAGAGCATAGCTCCGTCATGTGGGTTCATGGTTTGCCTCTGTAGCTGTCCTTTTCGCATTCCGTTCTTGGTCGTCGGTAGGGCCCCGTCTTCTTGTACTCCACGTCTCCCAATCGTACATCTTCTCTGTCGTTATGTTATCTACTTCACTTTTCTTCCATATTGTTTCTCGTTTTGTTTTTTTTTTTTTTTTCTTCTAGCAGGGGTCAATTCTATTGTACCCGAGTTGGTTATGGTGACTCTAAACAAGCAAGCTCGGATCGCAGCACACCAATATAATATAGAATTTCCCAGTAAAGCTGCCCAAGTAAGCAGACTTCTCCCTTTCTTCTACTCGTTTCTTTCTGAGCCTGATACGTAGAAAGTTCTTTCGGGCACGGTTCCCAGCAGAGCGTAATTTCCTTTCGGCTGTCGGTAGGAGGTTGGCTGCTCCCCCGAGCATCGTCACATCCACCTCCACAGTACGCGTTGCACCGGTTGCCTTCCAGCAACACGAGCGCGAGCTCTCTCCAGTTGGTAGAGAGTGCTCTTGTGGCCGTGAGATGGACTTTGGCTGTGGATACTGTCACCTGACAGCCTTTCGGCCATGCTCTTTCCTCTTATAACTCTCCATCGCTCTACCGGAAATCTAAAAAATGATCTATCTACAGTGAAAGTTTTAGCAGGATCCCCTCATGAGGATCCTGCGTAACATTCAGCACACAAATGCTCTTTTCGCTATCACTTTTTTTTTTGCCTTCTTGTTTGGTTACTGTGCCTTTGGCGTTCAATGCTTGCTCGACTGACTGCTTAAATTTAACATATTTTTATCGTCGACAAGCATACCCACACAGCACAGTGATATCCCAGGGATGTCCCTAACTGGACGACTTGTCCCTGGTCTTCATAGGATATCCTGAAGACATCTTTCGGACGGTTTCGGACATCTTGTAAAGGATGTCTTCGGGGTATCTAAGAGACGTCTTTTAGACATCTTCAGTCGATATTTGCATACCTTCGACGGTAGATGTCTCCCATGGGCCCTGATCTTCAACCTCAGATCTTTTTTTTTTAAATCAAATTCATCTACTTGATTTGTCCTGAGGATAAGTAATGATTTTTGTACCGTATACGAGGCGTATCAGGAAAACTATCACCAGGGAAAGTGAAAAAATTGCGGTCCGAATTTTAATTTATTCCGCTATATTCTACTTAATGATAAGTGATCGGCAAGTCTGGATACGACTATCTTGGTTGGAGGCCTGAGCCCATACTTTTCTAAAGGCGTAAGGTTAAATAAAAAACCGTCCATGATCCCTCGTGTAAAGGTACTAAATTTAGTACCTTGGAGATGTGTATCTTACGATGGGGCCCCCTTTAGGAACAGGATTTTCCTCCCCCGTAATCGTCACTCTGCAATCAGTCAAGAACTTAAGATTAGGTGTTCCTAGATGAAATAGAGACATCTTCGAAAGTAATGGGTTCTCCTTTCCGGTAGGAAATGAGTCAATTGTGGATAGGAAGGGGCCTGAAAGTACTACCTGGGACTTCTCACTTGTCTCTAGGCGATCTCTGGGACATCCTTCGGATATACTTGTGCTGCAAGCACAAGACATCCTTGGGATGTCTTTACCCCCAGACAATTTGATATCCCTGAGATTCTCCCACAAGTAATGTCCGGGACTTGTCCCAAGGGGATATCCCTGGGACATCTCTGGGATGTGCTAGTTCTTCGAGAAAGGGACATCCTTGGGATGTCATTGGGCCCAGACATTTTGATATCCCTAAGTTGTTCCTATTCCTTGTCTCTGGGATATCTTTGGGATATACCTGTGCTGTGTGGGTAGGTGTCTGTAGCTGATGGCTAGCCACGCTCAGTACCGTGCTTGGTAATTGTTATAGAAGTTTGACTTGGTTGATCTTGTGTCAACTGTTTTTATATGTTATTTTTTGAATATATATGTATACTAGTATATAGTGTGGTGTGTTTGCTTTGCCTGGGAGTAAACAATTCAGAAAAAATGCAGGTGCGAGGAAATGTAAATTAGTTTTTGCTGGCCTTGTCAAAACAACAAGTGCATACACTCTAAAAAAAAAAAGTTTGAAAGTTGTCCGAAAGGGCTGTCGAGGCGAAAAGCACCTGAGACACATAACTCCGTCGTCTAAAATTCGTTTCTCTCAGGAAAGGATTCAACTTCGTCGCCCCAGTGTCACATGTGCCACCCTGCGGCCACACACGTCACCCCACACACCCTGAGTTGAGCAAGAATCCATTCAGCATCTCCGCTCTCGTATCACATAGGTGCTCGATCCATGGAATGCCCAAGCACACACACACACGCGAAATGAAGGCTATTGGCACGGCCAACCGAGATCACCGGTCGGCAGGGATTCTCAGGTTTTCGGACCGAGTTACGGCCGGGGGGAGGACTAGATTCGCCATCCACTATAATTGCCTTTCGTGCCCGGTCCCGTGTGATCTCGGGTGGTCTCATTCTATCAGCGGAACTGCGAAAACAGACGCCTCCCTCGTCGGAAAGGCCGAAACGCAGGTCCGTTTTGTTGAAACTGAGGTTGAAACTGCTGTTGAAACTGTTGTTGAAATTGAGGTTGAAGCTGTTGTTGAAATTGAGGCTGAAACTGAGCTTGAGGCTGAGGTTGAGGTTGAGGTTGAACCTGAGGCTGAGGCTGAACCTGAGGCTGAGTGCCCGGCGGGACCAGGAAACTCGCGGGAGCCCCGAAGGACCTCCCTTCCTCTGCTCCCTCAGCCACGAGCAGCTGCCCGCACTGGGCCCGGCAGACCTGGTCGTTCATCACGGCCTCTCGCGGTTGGGACGAAATCAGCAGCTGGCAGTTGGTGATGCGGAGCGATTCGCAGTTGGGCTGAAACGGCAATACGAATAAATAGCTTTCGTTCTGGCTGGGGCATCTGAAAATAGACAGGTCAGCGGACTTGCCTGGCAAAATTGTACCACTAGTAAAAATGAATAAATCCTTCAGTTTTTAATAGCAAAAAATGTATTTTGTGACTCTTGCAAATCTCACATTATCTATGGAGGTAATGCGTAATAAATAATAATAGAGAAATTTGGGATTTAATTTGACCCGACACGAAATCTTTCGCTTCAATGCTTCTCTTACTGCCTTTCCTTCTGCTCACAGATATTTTTTTTCAGACATTTCCCCCGAAACGTCTAGTTAGAGGAAGAAAACGGAGAAACGACTCACCCCTCCCGCCTGACAGGTGCACTGAACGCACGGCGACGCGAGGCCGAACTGTCCTACCGGGACGAACTTCCCTCCGATCGTGCATCCTCCAGCTGGTGCTCCTCCCACCGGTGCTCCCCCGACCGGTGCTCCGACCACTGGTGCTTCGACCACCGGTGCTCCCCCCTCCGCCCAGGCGAACAAGTTCAATCCGGGCAGCTCGGCGCATGACGTGCGGGGGTTCCTGCAATTCGAATGCTTGCACATGTGATCCTCAGATATTGTAAGTAAAATGAATCGATGGTGCTGGGATGTAAGTGGTCGAATTTCGCCCTTCGATGTAAAATTTTCGCCACTATTTTATGCACAAGTATGTTTAGAAAGGGAAAATTCCGTGGGGAAGAGATATATGGTTGCAGAACTTATGACCTTTTTATGTTGCATTTTAGTCATATTTCTCCACAAATATATACACATTTTTACAACTTTTCTTATTTAATACTGAGTTTCCGTCACGTACTGCACTCGAAAACACGATTCACGAATTTCCCACTCGACAAATAGAATTTCCTCATTTCGAAGCCACCAGCCACCAGCCGGCCGAAGAAACCCAAAGTCGGAAACTCACTGGAACGGATCGGCGATGTCGAAGGCCCTCCTCTGGATGCTCTCCACCACGTCGCCGTTGTCGCAGAAGATCTTGGCGACCGTGGCCTTGCGGATCTCGCCCAGCTGCGCCTCGGTGAAGCGCACGGCCGGGTCCCCGTTCTCGTACCTGTTTCGGATGGGGGTTGTTTGATCGTGTTAGGCGGATGGGCGGTTTCGTCTGGTCCGGGGAAGAGAGGGATCTGTGGCCGGGGCCACCACCCGGATAGTTATGATAGCGAGTAAATAGTGTTCTCCGTTGCAAAATGTGTGTGTGTGTGTGTTTTTTACGAAAGTAGGTTGACGCGGTCGAGGTAGTTCATGATGGTCAAATATGGCTCATGGAAATTTACCTTGGGAACTGGAAAAAAAAACTCTTCCGGCTGCAGCCTCTTGGAACTACCCGAGTCACTTATCGCGTCGATTCAATGTAGAAAGGATTCAAAATATTCGTCGTTGAAACGCGGAATAAGCGCTGGATACGGACGCGAAAAACACGCAGATATGATGTGGTTTTATATTTGGCTCACCAAAAGCGATCGCATTTCTTGAGAGAGCGGAACTGGAGCCCGATGATGCATCCGAGGGTGGGCCCGACGAGCCCGCCCTCGAGGGGCCGCTCGCACAGGCCGCCCGTGAAGAGGTCGATGTCGTCCACGTGGGCGTAGATCTGCTTGTAACGATCCAGGATCTCCTGGGGGATCTCCTGGGCCAGGTCGTCGAAGGTGGTCGCGCGTTTCAGGTTGCAGATCTGGCGGTAGTCGTTGTACGGTCGGAGGCCGTGGTCTCGACCTGGGAAGGGGGGGGGGGTCGGTTCCGAGATTTCAGTTCATTCGTCGGGGAGGCACGGTTTCATCAGTTAATCTGGTTTTGTTCGTCGGACTAGAGGCGTATCGTGTCCTTGCGGATTTCCGTATTACCTCGCTGGATGTTGGTGGCGATGAGGTCGAGTCCGGAGAAGGGACGGCTTGACTCCTCGAAGAGGTGGTTGGTCACTTCTTTAGTCACGAACTGGTCCAGGCTCTCCATGGGGTCGCTCAGGAGTCCTCGCGTGATCTCGTCCACCATTTGCACCTGGGAGATGCCACACGAGATCATGAAAGTAGAAAAAAAGGGGTGAGTATTACTTTGGGATTTTCCCCTCTTAAATTTGGTGCAACGTTTCCGAGAAATGTTTAACAGGAAATGTCTCTCAAGATGGGAACAATTCATCTGGAGACACATTAGACTTTTGGCATGTGCTCGTTGCTACCTGATGCCCTCCCTTTCACCCCTTTTGTCCTCGCCATGGGGCATGTACCAGCCCCCTCACCTTGGCCCAGAGGACTACTTTCTCCGGCCAGACTTGCCCTTAAATAGTGGAGGTCTCCCGATATTCGAGGGCACACGTGGAGCATTTCCTGGGCATTCCCGAGGCATTCGCTGAGCATTCCCGAGGCCATTCTCGCCTGACAATTCTTCACTTCTCGGCAGTGCATCTCGGGAGCCTCTCCTCACTTCCCGGGCATCAGAACTCCAACCATTCCTTCAGCATCCTGGTGATCTCCACTTGGAGGATGTTTTTGTAACGGGATTAAATCTTGCTCAGATAGAAACCCTTTGTCTTCCATTTCCTACTATGCAAGCTCTTGTTCACGTGAGGCTTGGCGCCGAGCCCACGCAAGCTTTCACTCATCCACGTTACCCTTGCTCAACAGCGCCATAATAGCCTACCACGTAACACATTGAACCTGAATTGCCCAGGAAAGTTCAGACCGTCCACGTTTTCCCGTGACGGTAAAAAACCAGCAAACGGTAAGATTCCTCTCACCTCCAACAGACGAGCAGGGTTGTTGAACATCTCTCGCAACTGCAGGCTCGGCTGCCTGGAGTTGAAGAATTGGTCCATCCGGTGCAGCTGCGGCCGGATCAAGGAATGGCCGAACCGGAATGCGGCCGCCCCGAACTCGTTCAGGGCTCCGGGGTTGCACTTCGGATCGTAGTCTGCAATGCATCGAGAGACGTTCGTGGCAATTCAGACGGGAACCGCTGAAAGTTGGTTCGTCGTTTCTGCCCGCGAGAGCGAGTCGAATTCTCGATCGAGTCTCGCTTTTCGCAGGCAGAATCTCGTCATTGTCGCAACCGAGAACTCGAAGAGGAAGCCCGCAATTTTCATAATGGCGGCTCGTGATCCGAGGCTCGAGGAAAGATTTCCCAATCCCCCATCCCTACCTGTGGAATATCCTTCGGGGAGGAGGCCGAGGTCGAAGAGCCTGACGGAATTCCATCCCATGACCCTCGGAAGGAACTCGTTGTACGTGACGTGCTGGAACACGGCGCCCAAGATCTTCCTCCCGTTCTGGAACAACCGCTCGTCGTCCCAGTGTGGATTCGCCCGAGCGAGTCCGTCCACGATGCGGTTGTGCTCCCGGAGGAAGATGGTGTGCAGGGCGCCCAGGCCCAGCTGCTCGTTCAGCCGGTTGTCCCCTGAGATGCACGCGGGACCGTTCCGAGTGTTCCGAATTCGAATCCATCGAATTTAAAAACGGTTATTAAGAGGACTCACCTCCGAGGAAGCAATGTCCGGACGCCGAGTTACATGCCTGGGCCTCGGGCAGAAGTCCCTTCCCCCTGAACTGTGGGGCCGCGGACTTAAGTCTCCCCCCCACGAAGGCTCGCAGCATCCGAGCCTCGCACAAGTTCTGCCCGTACACCTGGGACGCGTCCAGGAACGCCGTGTTCTGGTTCAGCTGCTGTCGGGGTCCTGAGCCGAGAGAAAACTTGCACTAATTTATTTCGCCTAGAATGACGTCGATATTCGAGACGAAACCGCCAGACGCCGAATAGAATGCAATACCAGTTTTGCACAATAGTACTTGTTCATCTCGATCTTTAAGCGTGTACCGAGAATTTCTTTCTCTCGCACGACACGGGGGAAATGCACTCACCAAGTTTGGTCTGTCCGGGAAGCGACCGGACGAAGTTGATGCACCGAGGCCTTCCGGTGTTGACATCCACAGGGGGAAAGAATGGGTCGTTCCCTGGGACCCCGATGGGGAAGCACTCGGGGTGGACGCGCTGGGCGCTGTCGCAGGCGCGGCAGTCCAGCACGGACTTCTGGAAACCTGGGGGTCCGGGAAATTATTTTCGTCGTTTTTACTCTTGGGAATGAGAGGGTCGGATTATTTTTGCCCGTGTCGAGAAACTTTCTTTTGCTAACTGTGGTTGATTTTTTTTTCTCATAACTCTTTATTCGAGGCAGGATTCGATGGAGTTGTCGGTCGTTTCACGACGTGGAACGTACCTCTGTGGACGGGAGTCATCGTGATGTCGTGGTCGAGGAACTGCCCGAACTGCATGATCATGAGGACGTGGCGGTTGCTGAGGCGCGACACGTCGGCGTGGATGAAGGTAGACACGCCCCGCGGCGAGGGCAGGGGCTGGCCCGTCACGGACGTCTGCCGAGGCAGGCTGATGTCTGGGGAAATTCTTTCTTTCGTCTTATCGGGTTGGGGAATTCGGTCCACGATCGGATTTATTGTGTTTCGCTTTGATCAAAGACTCTTTTTTTTTAATTTATTCGAGTTTTCCTTTTTTTTTAAAAAAAAAAAGCTGTACTGTTGAGTTTCACCGAAATGGAAGCATCAGCTCACCGTCGTCATACTTGGGAGCCAAGAGTCGATTGAACAGCGTGAGTTCCTTCCCGAGCGACGGATTCCCCAGGTTGTTACACCACCCCGAGAACGTGCGGAAGGGACTCTTCGGGTCGCACTGCTGCCTCTCCTCGTCCCCGCAGAAGGTAGGAGGCTGCTGGGGCACGCGGTCGCCCACGAAAACGTTGTTCAGCTGCTGGCCCTCGAGGAAGTTCTGCTGCTGCTGGCCGCCGAAGAAGTTCTGACGCTGGCCACCGAAGTTCTGACGCTGGCCACCGAAGTTCTGCCGCTGCCCGCCGAAGAAATTCTGCCGCTGGCCGCCGAAGTTCTGCCGCTGACCGCCGAAGAAGTTCTGTCGCGGCCCGCGTCCGTTGAAGTTGTTCTGTCGCGGCCCGTTGAAGAAGAAGTTGTTGAGCTGCCGCTTGTCTCTCCGGCCTTCGTTCTCCGACCTTCAGCGACAACAGACCATCAGACTGGTTAAGGTCGAGTCTCTCGGCCCAAGTAACCGAGGAGCACTTAGATTATTTCTAGATAAGTTTAGGTGCCCAGTATTGCAACATTTTCCTGATTTTCTCCTCCTTTTTTCAATCAGTTATCCTTTTTTGGTCTACGGCCTAGAAGAAATAGCAGAAAAAAAAGAAACAGCTTCTGATTGACCTGCTCGAAGCTTCTTGGCTCACACTTCGCAAGATTCAAGTCCCAAGGAACTCATCGAAATGAAACTCATGAGATACGGAAAGAAACTGACTGCAAGAGCAAATAGGTCAGTTCCTGCGTGACGAATTCAAAGACGAGGGAGGTGTTGGCGAGATGGATGGCTGCGTCGTTCGGGCTGTGGAATCTGTAAGACTTCCCCATCGCCGAGTTCGGCGGCGCCACCAGATCTAAGGAGACGAAATGCGACGTCGAGGTAACTTAGGTCGCAAAACTTTGAGTTTGAACGTCATCTGCACGAGGAACCGTGTCCCGTACTTTCTTCGAAGAGGAGTTTCTCCCAGTCGAGTCTCTTCCGGAGGTCTTCCTTCGCCCTCTCGACGGAAAGGTCCAAGAACCCGGGCGGGATGACCAGCTCCGGTGCCTCGGCTTCCTTCCACGGCTCGAGGGATATCTGGAGGATGGTGTCGCACGGCACCCGAGCGTTCCTGTGGGATGTCGAGCGTGTCATTCACCGTTGTGGTGGTTGGGAGGAGGGAGGAGGGAGGAAAGGAGGGGGGATCTCACCTGTGGCGGTCGGGCAAGAGGAAGGCTTGAGGCTGGACGTGTTTGCGGTCCGTGTTCATGCAGAGGAGGGACGCCAGGGTCACTTTCTTCAGCTCTGCCAATTGGGCTATCAAGTAGGAAAAGTGACAGAAAAATTAAAAGGAAAAAAAACTAATTTTTGAAATTTATATGAATAAGAAATTAAATTGGAGGAGCAGCCAAAAAAATACAAGGATGAAACATTTCATGCTGAAGACACGTGAAACTTTTTTTCAACACTTTCAAGGAAGAACTACAATCTGGAAACGTCGAACGAAACAATTCAGGTTTCTTTGGTTCTTTTCCCGATGTTATCCCCTAGCATCCTCACCTTTGGAGAACTGGTTCGGCGGGAAGTCGTTCTCGTACCAGAAGCGATCGGATCGTCGGATGCGCTTCAATTGTTCGCCAAGAAGGCAGGAAAAAGTGGGACCGAGGAGACTCCCGACGGGATGGACTTCCATCAGCCCGCCCGTCACCAGATCCACGTCCTCCACCGACCTGCCGCAAGAAAAAAAATTTAGGACTCGGGTGGTCTCGGCGGCGGGACACGATCTTCGCGAGTCCACACTTGTAGATTTTCTGCAGCTTCGCGATTCCCTCCTCGGAGATATCCCTGAGGTCCGAGAAATCCTTGCCGCCTCCGAGTCCACACCATTCCCTGTACTTGACATAGCCGGGCAGTCCGTGATCTCGTCCTTCCTGCACCACGTAGGCTGCCGTGAATCGACTGGCCTCTGCTAGGGAAAACGTGAAAAATTCCTCATCCCGGATGTGTTCTCGTGTCGTGAAATCCTTCAGCATTATATTACCAAAGTATTAATAAATACCTCAATTCAAGGTTGGAATGCCGGCGATTCCGATGGGGAAAATGCCTGAGCGCGCATTTATAGCTCTTTGAGTATGTCCAGGGCGGACCATTTATATCTGACACATTTATTTTTGTAATAAATCAGGATCGAACAAAGTAATGCAAGTTGTTATTATATCAAAGTGAAGTACAAACAAGGGATATTGTCACATTACCTATCACAGATCTACATCTTAAATATCGCCTTCTCTAAATGCTGTGTAAATGTAAATTGATGCATTCTCTGCATCGAACTTCTACATTGTTCTTTACTGTCCTCATTGTGTCTTCAACGACAGCAGCGATGGTTTCATTAATCCTGATCCCCGGAGGAAAAAAAATCCGGTGCGGACAGGTCGGGAGTTTTGGGGTGGCCATAAAACAGTGCCGAACTGAGAACTTGTCCTTTCCCCATAAAACAATTTGGGGGAAAGGATCATTCTTTCCTTCTTTATGAAACTTTTTGACGAACGAGAGAACGGTGTTCTTCCTGCGTCGAAATTCGCGTCTGAATGCCCTCTGAGTTTCCACAAGAGGGCCATATCTCAAATCCACAAATTTTACTCGGATTGACACGTCCCAACGTTCCATCATTCACATTTCCAAGGCTTTACCTGTAATACAGGAAAAAAAAAATTCAAATTTACAGCTATTCCTTATAAATTTAAAATAAAAATGTATCAGATATAAATGGCCCACTCTTGGTAGCAGCAATGGTAGCGACGCCACCACTTCGTACTGGTACTACTAGTACACTGTAAGAAATAATTTCTGAAAATTCCGACTAAGGCACAGGAAACAGAGTTTCCGTCTGATACGAGGAAAAGGAAATTCCGATTCAGAACGGAATCCATGTCTCCTATTTTCTCGCGTAGAAATACGCTAATTATCGGAATCGGTTCTTCCCGTTGAAGTTGTTCATTTTTCGTGTCTTCCCAGGAGATATTCCGTCTCATTTGGAGATTCCCTAATGCCATTCATCGCTCGAAGACGCCTTGGCACCCTCAATAACTCCAGATATTATTATTTTTATTTAGTGCTTTCTCTCCCGGAAAGGTCGAACGCACTATTATCCGTCTTGTCGTGAGGATTCCGTTTCGTTGTCGGACTCGGAATGTAGGACCCTTAGGCGTGATATTTCAGAGAAACGGGAAAATTCCATGACCATCAAGTGGGATTTCCGAGGATATATCCGAGGAGGAAGTTTTCAGATCATTAAGAGGAGAGCAGGTTTACATGTTCTTCGTCAGAAATTTTTACGATAAAGAACCGGAAATTTCCGAACTTTTTTTTTTACAGCGTACTAACACGAACGCGAGACTTCGCGAGTAGAACTTCCAGAACTTTCTTTTCTCGAGGTTTTCCCTCACAACCTTCAATCATTGCTGTGGGAGGGGAGGGGAGGGGAGGGGAGGGGAGGGGAGAGGAGAGGAGAGGAGAGGAGAGGGGGGTTGTGGCCTTGGCGGCGTGCAAATCGGGGTTGCCTCGAGTCCACTACTCGAGTCCACGAGTCAAAGAGTGGTGAGGCAACTACTGGAGGAAATCTTCTAACAACGTTGCCATGAGTCTGCCTGAACTTAACTCATTTAACTTACTTCGTGGGGCGGTCAAAAAGTCTTTTTAATTTCTCACTCACACGCATTCGCATGATGGAACGCAGGTTTCGCTGATACAGCTTCTCAACAAAGTCGCCCTCAATGTTCATGCAGCTTTCGAACGATGTGGGAGCCTCTAGAGGCCACCTGCGTTCCACTGTTTCGGGGTGTTCTGCATCCACGCCGGACGGCTTTCTGTAGAGCCTCCGTGGTGGCAAAGTGCCGTCCCGGCAAAGACTCATTAATGCTGCCAAATGACCACCAACCGCTGGGGACGAAATGAGGGTAGTGTGGGGGATGTTGGACTGTCTGGAACCAGAGCCTGGCGATTGCCTCCGTGGTCCGACTGCTCGTGCGTGGGCGAGCGTTATCATGCCGGAGCAGCACCTTTGTCGCTCTTTTGCCATGGCGCTTCTTCTGAATAACCCTGCCAATATGCGTCCATGTTGATCGTTTGACGTTTTGGAAACCGATCGATGAGTACGATTCCGTGATAGTCCCAAAACACGGTAGGCATCTGCTTCCAGGCGGATAGAGATGATTGAATTTCGTGGGAGGTGAACTGCTTGAATTTCTCCATTGCTTCGATGGTGCGTCCGTCTCTGGTTCGTAGTGACGAAACCGAGTCTCATCGGCGGTGACGAGTCTTCCAAAAAAAAGCATCTGGTTCTGCATCGTGGAGTACTAGTAGTGCAGTTACAGAAAGCCGTCCGGCGTGGATTCAGAACACCGAAACATCGAATCGCAGATGGCCTCCAGAGGCTCCCACATCGTTCGAAAGATGCATGAACATTGAGGGCGACTTTGTTGAGAAGCTGTATTAGCGAAACCTGCGTTTCATCATGCGTATGCGTGTGAGTGAGAAATTAAAAAGACTTTTTGATCGTCCCTCGTCCCAAGCTCTTTTGCGGTTGCACTTCACATCTAAATGGTAAGTGTACCGTGTTCATTTCATTGGCAATTTACCAAGTAGGTTTGCTTTTTCCCCTCTTCGACCTTCGGTATAGGAATGAAGGAGAAAGTAGACGAAAAAGGTCATCCGAGATGAGGATAAGGAGGGAGGAGGAAAGAGGGAGAGGGAAGGAGGAGGGAAGGTGGGGGGAAAGAGGGGGGGGATGGAATTGAAATACCCCAAGAGGGGGGCCATCGATTGCGACATCGCCGTGGTCCCCTCATTTTTCCTCATTTTACTCCATTTATTTTTCGCAGAAACTGAGACGGGAATCGGGTGCAGGGGGAGGCCCGGGGAGGCCTGGGGAAGCCCGGGGAGGCCCCATGGGGGTCACACAAAGCAGCTTCTTACTCAACACGCATTACACTTTTCACACCGTGATTAATTTTTAATTACGGGAATGGAGGGTTTCCCAATGGATTCTTCATCAATACGGAGCCAGCTGGCACTGAAAACCTTCACGTGTCACTCCGATAACCTTGCCGACGGTGAAACAACCATCGATTACGAATCCCAATCGCATTCCCCCCGAATCCCCTCGAATCCCCCACGCAATCCCTCGAGCCAACCGACTCTCTCGACTCACCTCGTCGAACACGACCCGAAGAAATTCGCGGAACGAAACGTGTTGAACCTCCGCGATGACCACCCGCCTCGCCTCCTGGAACACCCGCTCGTCCTCCCAGTGCCGGTTGAACGTCGCCAGCGTTTCGGCAACCCTGTTGTGCTCCCGCAGGAGCACCTCCACCAGGGATGCCAGACCCGAGTTCTCGCTCCTCCAACACCTAAAATGCATTTTCCTTCTCTTAGCCCTCACAAATAATTATTTAATCCGCTGCGACTTTTAGCATAGAGAAAATAAATGCAATTTCTATCATTTAACTACGACCGATACGGAATTTTTAATGCTTACTAAAAATAAATAGAACTTAATATGAGTTAAGTCCGAGGTAAGTTCTTTTCCTGAGTTGAATACTTTCCTCAAAATAACTCTTAGTATTTATCAATGAACTACCTGCGCTTAGAACAATCGAAAATGAAGAGAGCTGCGCCAGCGCAAAAACTGAGTCGCGAAACGGCGGAAGCAACAGTCACCCCCTCCCTCCCCCTTCCCCCCACCTTGCCTCGGTCGCATTCGTGTCGCTTCGTCTTCTGTCGATGATTCATTCGAATTCGGCGAAGAATGCTCGACGCGGTTCGCGGGGCCGAGTGGCAGGGCCATCAACTACCAAAGCCAGCACGTGAGTACCGTCTCTTGGTACTGCGGTTCGATGAGCAGTCGCTGCAAGGACCGAGCTCAAACAGCGCGAAACTTCAAGACCGAAGGACGATCACATCATCTTCTATATATTTAAATACGATCCACGTATGCGCACGTGGACGGGACTCACAAGTGTTAAAGCGGCGTGACGCAATCGTACTTAGCTTGCAGGAGAGAACTCTTTCATAGATTCTGACTGCCTGCAAGGCATCCGGCTGGTTTTTTTTTACTCTGTTGGGATGGTCATTACACGTGGAGAACGGTTACAAAAACACCGAATAAATACTTTTAAAATATAAATAATAATAATAAATAAATAATAATATAAATAATAGCATAGAAGAGAAACGAAGGGAAAATATGAGCGGACCCTTGGACATCCGTGCATTGGGCGCGAAGCGGAGCGGGACGCGCGACCAGCTGACCCATGTTGAAAGACCGAATGTCCCTGGACTCCTCGTCCGAGGAGCCGTACAGGACGGATGCGTCCAGGAAGGCCGTTGCCGTGTTTGCTTGCTGCCGAGGGCCTGAGAAAATGGGATTCCTGGAATCACTGGAGGATGTCGGTCTCCTAGGCTCTCGCAGATTTATTCAATTTAGTTAACATTTAAAGATTACAAAATTCGAAGCAGTTGGAACAGATGAATGAAGAAGTGCGAAAAAGATGCACTTTAATCGTTCCATTTCCACCAGAAATTTTGTAAAATCTCACGTCGATGATGGAACAGCATGCACCCGAACGGAAAAGGTGGGAGACGCTTTACCCAGGTGGCATCGAGGACCAGGAGCGGTGAGGGACCTCTGGTAGAGGAGGCAGGGATCCGGGCTCACCCGGATGGTCTCCGGTCCCGGATTCGAACAATTTCCTTCGTCTGAAAAATATATGACCAATTTTTTTTATTTTCTTTTACTCATTTGGTCTTCGTCGGGTCGGAGTCGGCGGTTAGCGAGAGTTTAACACGCTCGTCGGGTTAGGAGGGAAAACATAATTGATAAACTCTTGCTTCACTCTGTCCTTCGGGGACTCGACCACCTAATCCGTCTTCATCCCATCCATATGTATCCTAATCGGATCTTCGTCCGAAGAGATCCGAGTCGGAAAAGCTTAAACGGCGAGGAAAATTGATGCAGGGACGATAACCGGCAGCCTCGAGACGGAAATTCCTGAATGTGATCGGAGTCAAGGCTGCCTGGGAAAATGGGGACATTCGGGACATTTGGGACATCCGGGACATTTGGGATATTTTCTCCGCTTTCTTCTCTCATTTCTCATTTCTCATTTCTTCCGCGAAACAAGTCCGAAACCGAACTCAACGACAATTTAAGCTTCATCGCATCGGATACAAAATCCAATTCCGTCCGCATCCGGAATTCGTATCCCCCGGTACTAAAAATAATACACAATCATGCACGTACATTGTTCGCGCTTGCACAACGCCCAAAACAAAAGGAAACGCAACATGAAGAAACCCTC